TATTACTCGGTGAAAGAGCACACCCCATATTTTGGAAGGCGCGACAGAACAAGAATTTCCTTTTCTGCTACTGAGAATGTGAACTGTTGCATGGATAATCAGATTCATAACCTTTTCGCTATTTTGTTACTGAGAATGTCATGCCCCCCATGTTTCTAGCATGTATTATTATTCATTTTCACGAATATATACTTTTCTATTAAATTTTAACGCACATTTTTAACTGAATCTTCAACTCAATTACCCCTCGCCCCTTGTAAAAATACGATGTTGATGTTGTGATAGAAGCAAAATGGTTGACCTGGGGTGGCCGGTAAGTTAATCTAATATACTTTTTCTTTTTTAAGAAAGGGATTAAAATGATATTTTGATTTTTTTTTCAAAGACAACGGATTTTTAGCTAGGTTTAATTTAGATTTTTAGCTAGGTTATTTGTGGCCAACTAGATTCCCCCCTGGTTAGATTCTACAGTTGACCAAACCCAGTTAACATTCTTCCCTTCCCCTGGCGAGACAACTCATGTTCATCCTTTTTAGCACTAGATAACCACAAACAACTAGCTGATAACTAGCTTTCCCTGAAAATTCTATGTTGAGTAAATATCTCTGTTTTTTTTAGCTTTCCCTGAAAATTCTATGTTGAGTAAAAATCTCTGTTTTTTTTTTTCTTTTATATATTGAATTAAATGGATGTTTTCTCAAGAAAAAAAAGCCATTGTTTTAATTTATTAATTCCATTTATTTAATTCCTTCCATGCTCTCTCCGCTTTTACCCGTCCAGGCACCTGGCATCAAATACTCGAATAATTTCTATTCAGATCCATCAAGTTCTTGACTTGCCTTGCAAGATCCAAACTAGTCAACTTTCTCCTCACAAATGCAGAATGCAGAAAGAGGGAGAGCAGCAGCGTTGTCATTTTCATATCTGCACTGCTTTTGTTAGTATACAATTATGCATGGAATAGATCAGTCAGAGGTTCGCAGCTTTCCTTTCCTTTCATTTATTATTATTATTATTATTATTATTTAATCTGGGTTTGATGAAGTGGTTGTAATAATTAAAGACACAAGTTTTCAAGTGTTGGGATTTGTGTGATGTGGGTCTTTTTAGTTTTTAGTCAATCTCTTTCAATGCTTAATGAATCACGTTATGGCTGGCAACTTGCAACTTGCAACTTGCTGCTTGTCGGTGCTTTACTTTTGATATTATAATTATAGCAATAACTAGAGCATGTGGGGTGGGGGAAATCGCAATTCCTTCCCTCAAGCTACGTGTCTCTTTCTTTTCTTTTCTTTTTTCATTTTTTTAATTCGTAAATATAGTTTTTTTTCTTTTGTTTTTTTATTATGATTTTTTTTTAAAAAAATTATTAATTATTATTCTTTTGTTTTTTTATTATGATTTTTTTTAAAAACATTATTAATTATTTATTTTGTTTTATCATTTTATAAGATTAACATGATTTGTGAATTTATCAAAGGAATTTAAGTTACCCTAGGTTTCATGGGTTTTTTTTTTCTCTTTTTTTTTAATTGTATTTGATTTTTTTATAGATTATTTTTTATCATATAATTAAAAAAATAATTTTAGAGAAAAATCATGTTATTAGATTTTATAAATTAGCAAAGGTTTTTTTTCTCTCTTTTTTAAATAAATTTAATTTTTTTATAGTCTATTTTTTCTTATATAATTAAAAAAATAATTTTAGAGAAAAATTATGTTATTAAATTTTATAAAATAAAAAAAATTAAAGGATACGAGGAAACCATTGTTCACCAACATCTATTGCAACATAGATTACAATAGTAATCCAAAGTATTTTGCTTTTTTTTTTTAAATTTTTGTTATGATTTTGTGTTTTTAATTTTTTTTGTCGATTTTATCTTTTTAAATTAAAATTGTTAAGAATTTAACTTCATAATTTGCTTCTTTTTATTTTGACTTTATATGAGATTAACATGGTTTACGAATTGAACTTAATGTTTTTTTTAGTCTATTTTTTTCTTATATAATTAAAAAAATCATGTTATTAAATTTTATAAAGTAACAAAAATTAAAGGGTGTGAAGAAAACATAATTTACTCACACGTTGCACTATGAAATAACAATAGTAATCCACAATGTTTTACTTTCTTTTCTTTTTTTAAATTTTTTATTTTTTATTTTTTCAATTTTTTTTGTTGATTTATCTTTTAATATTAAGATGGTTGAGAATTTGACTTTATAATTTATTTCCTTTTATTTTACTTTTCTATAAGGTTAGCATGGTTTGTGGGTTTGGTAGGGTAACCCAAGAGGTTTTGGTTTACGAGTTTGATGGAGTGTATTTTTTTAATTGAACATGACTTTTTATTGTTTATTTTTTCTCATATAGCTAAAAAAAATAATTTTAGAGAAAAGTTATGTTATTAAATTTTATAAAGTCCATGGACCTATTTACATATTTGGTTAGTTGACTGGGTTTGTAAGATTTGATAAGTTTAACTTTTTTTTAATTAGTTTTTTTATTTCATCCTTAGATACTGGATTAATTTACAATTTAATTTTATAATTAGTTTTGTTTCATCTTTTATAAGGTTTTCGTGATTTAACAAAAAAACATTTCGGTATTAGGTTGGTGTTTCATTTTGCAACAATTTGTTTTTGTTATCATATATTTAAATAAAAAAATATTTTTGACAAAAAACAAATTATAATCTTAATGAAGTCCATAACCCAGTTCACAGATTTTACGTATTAATCTAAGATACTATATTCATAAGTTTAACTAGTTTACCCACCGATAAAATATGCTATTTCTTTTTTCTTTTTTGAACTTTTAATTATTTTTAAATTATTCTTTTTCAATGTCATCTCTAAATATTAAATTGGTTGGGAAATAAACTGTATTATGAATTTTTGTTTGCCTTCTATAGGGATAATTATCTCAAATAAGTGTTTATTTTTAGGTTGCTATTTAATTTTATGAGCTTATATTTTTATCATATAATTAAATTAAAAAATTTATTAAACTCAATACAGTTCATAACACGAGTTGTGGGGGACCAAGAGTGATCCAATCTGTCATTGTTTTAATATTTTTTAAAATAAATTATTATCTTGAAGTTTTTTTTAAAAGTTAAATTATGTTTTTATTAATTATTAAAGTTGTTTTTAAACTTATAAAATTAATTGATTTAAATCAAATTAATTTTTATATAATCTAATTTTAATTGAAAACTTTAACAAAGATATTTGGGTTAGGAGTGTGGTGCGTGAATCTGGACCGATAAGCATTGTGCACAACTGGTGTATTGGAAATCTCCTGTTTGTTTTTGTATTTTAAAAATATTTTTAAAAAAATTTAAATTTTATTTTTTTTTATTTTTTTATTCACTTAAAATTAATGCATTTTTAGTGTTTTCAAATTATTTTGATGTGCTGATATCAAAAATAATTTTTAAAAAATAAAAAAATATAATTAACATATATTTTAACACCAAAAATTATTTGAAAAGCAACAATAACTACATTTTTAAACAGACGTATATGCTTTTAGGGTAAAAATATGTGAACAGAGACCGAATATGTGGATTCTGGTAAAAGCTCAAAAAATTGCTCTCTTGATACGGCATATCAGGAATTAAACAAAGCATTGGGAGTGTCTACTCTAAGACATATATATATATATATATATATAGGAAAATCCATCTTTGAAGGTCTCATCATGTTGCGAAGAATTAGCAGTCAATTTCAATTGTTTTCAATGTATTCTCCTATTTGTTATGATGGGAGTAATTTTATTTTCATCTTCTGCTGATACAATCTATTCTTCAAAGAAGAAGAAGAAGAAGAAGAAATGGCGTAGGAGAAGCTGCGATGCAACCTCGTGCACGAGAACTTCTTGTCTTACAAACATCATAGGCTCTGAAACCTCAATCTGTAGAACTCTTCCGGTGCTAGATTGTTGTGTTAACCGAGTGCTTCGATTGTTGTCAGCTCAAAACTGTAGTTCTTTCTTTCTTCTTCTTTTGTAACGCTACTGACAAAACTAAAATAGGAAATAAGGAAACAGCACCCTACAGGAATCTCCTTACAGGAAGCAGGCTGTTGCTTCACTTTGCTCTAAATGTCGTCTACAACGTTGATGTCTACTTAACTCATCTTTTTCAGCCATGAAAGTTTGGTCTCATATACAGGCCATGATTTTTTAAATATCTTGTAGACTGGGGAAGGGGCTTGACATCGCAGTTTATTTTTGCATTTAAAACTGTGATTAAATGAGTTTTAAAAATACATTTAACTTAAAAAATATCAAATTAATACTTTTTTAAATGGTTTCTTGTAATTTTAATGTAATAATATCAAATAAATATATATATTATTTTAATTATTTTCAAGTAAAAAAATATTTTTAAGAACAATACAACTTCTATTTAGCACAATAGATCAACATAATAGAGGTTTAATAGATCAATCTAATAACCTACATTTTATTTTTAAATTGATATCATGATTATTTTTAAATTGATATCATGATTCGCTAATCTTAACACTTATTTGATTTCCTGTTTTAAAATACTTTCAAAAAAATTAAAAAAAAATTAATTTTACATAAATATTTTTTAATATATTCATATCCAATTAATGTACTAATATTAAAATTAATTTAAAAAAAAAACATTTTGAAAAATAGAGGACCACACTTCCAAACACCATCTTAATTAACCCACCGCAACACAACCACAACCCAGGCTTGAACCAAGTCAATCCCTAGTTATCAGCCCTTGTAACTATCATTGAAAATCACCACAAAAATATCTGATGGAATTGTGAATACGTACATGAACACAGGTGGTCGTTTTAACTGAAATAAAGGATTATATTACCAGAATCTAAACAAAGGAATTTCATCTTGGTAATATTCATCATGGCTGACCTAAGTAAACGCTGTTAACAAACCAGCTGACGGACCAGCAACAGAAAGACAGTGCGGTGTGGTTCAAGCAGTGAAAGGAGAAAAACCCAAAACATAGATAAACCCTTTTTCATTGCGTGCCGGAAGTCTTAACAGGTATAACATACTCAATAGTTTACATCCCCTACAAAATTGGGTCAATGTCTAATTGTTTTGAAACAGGAAATTCTCTCCTACTCAGGCAGATTTCAACTTGGATGATGATGAGGCCAGGTGAGAAAGGATTCTGTGTCCAACAAACATCAGGAAAGCTCCCAAGAAACAAAGTGCTTTCAGTGTTGTGAATAGATCCAACTGCTCAAATTAAAAAAAGACAAGCAAAAAGAAGTGTAAATTCCTCTTAACACCACAAATACTCTAGCAATCCAAATTTTCTCATTGAATAGAAGCAAAATAAACTAATATCCTAGCAAACAATCGAAAGCTGCATATCAAACATGGGTGAATACAAGCCCTGGAAATCTTGCAGGAATCACAAATTTATCAAATAGAGGTGAACAAAAAGAACGAAGTGGGAAACTGACCTTCAGCCAGAAAAGCACGTAGAGCAACAAAACTGCTGCTATGCCAAGATGGAAGAGGGCAGCGAACATGGCGGGAACAGATGAGGAAGGGAAGTTCTTCAAGTTCACCCCTAAACGCAATAGCTGTCAAAAGGAAAACGCATGTTAACATATGCCACTCATTCCCATTCCCTATGTTGTCCCCATTAATAGGGATGAGATGATGACGCGAGAAAACTAGGCAAAAAGAATGACAGAGCACTTGAAATGCTGACTATGTCCATTAATGCAATGTGCAATAGCACTTCCTGTCCTAATAAATAGAAAGGGGTAGTCTAAACTCCCGAGGTCACTTGGCAAGTTCCACCAATAAAATTCTATCCCAACAAGTTCAGCTAAGCAATTTCAACCCGAAACTTCAATCAAACACATGTACGCTAGCAGTGTCAACATTAACACAGATCAAAAGATCTTTCCAACATTAGCATTCAAATCCATGGACAAACCTCAATAATACTAGAAGTGCTATATGGGGCATCCAAAGGTGAGACAATTCAGAAAGAGCCAATGAATTATAATGCTAACTAAGAAGGTTCAATTTCAATCAATTCCAGACATCATTGACCTCAAAAGAGAGAAATAATGTTAATGCTCAAGTTTTCAGAATTTCTGACAGATACATAATATAATACTCACCCCAAGTAAGAATCCAAGAAATGGCAAAAGTGTAAGACCCAAGAAAGTAAGAGAAAGCTCCTTAGGTGGAAGCTTTTCAGCAACCCTGAAGATGTGAGCTATCTCTGCTTTAGGACCATATATCAAGTTTGGATCAAGAGGCTGTGCTGGAGGCTGTGGTGCCTTCTCAGGTGGTTCGGGTAGATCCAGGTCAATGTGACCAATAGCCTTTAAGAAAGAGTTCTCCTGATGAAGACGAACAAAACAAATTGTATAATGCTCATGTTGCATAACCCATACAAAAAATAAAAACTTTGAAAGCAAAATCAAGCCTACCATAACAGCATCACCCACAGCGAGTTGAACATTATATCTCCCTGATAAATAGAAAAATTTCTCAACCAGTCCAAGGAAATCCTGCAAGACGTTGCCAAATATGAGGAAAATAACAAAAGTTCAAAAGACACAGAAATGGATGGTTGAATGATATGTTCTAGTGAGTCTGTTTCCAAGCAATCAACACTGATGCACAGCAGGAGCATTTGAAAAGATAGTAACAAATATTGGCATGTGCATAAACATTATAATGTCCAGCAAGAGAGGCTTAAACTGACTGCCACTCAAACTACTTCAGCTGGAGGTTTATTCATTTAAACATAACATAAAGAGCCATTTTCATTGTGAAACTTAAAACAATACACGATTGTTAAGCAAATATTGAACAGTAATTTCATTGAAAAAATATTCAGTTTTATTTCTAGTAGATATTCAATAGTGTGCATGTCTCTGGACCAGTATTCAATTCCTGATTCATAAAACTTACTTTATTCAGTCTATACCATGTGATAACAAAATTAACTTCATTTCAGGTAAGAGGGAAATTGGTTAGCAATGCACAAATTGAAGATGGAAAATGAATCACTAACAACCAAGTTAATTGATTGTTGACAATAGTCACCAGCCAAATTTGAATTCAATGAGAAACCCAAAAGTCCACATTTGTGTATATATGATAGATTTTGTTCTTAAACTATAAAGTTGCAAAAACCCATCCATGAGTGAGGAACAAGGGGGAGCAAAACATTGCAGAAGGAACTTACAAGAATAATCTCAAACTGTTTTCCAGAGCTCCCCATCAAAAAGATATGCTCAACCTTAGTCTCATGCGTCAATTTTAGAATTGCCTGGTAGCCAAAAAACTCTGAATAACTAAATCACAGAGATATCGATTCTAGAGGAAGACAAGCAGAATTACAAACCTGATGTGGCTTAAATGCATGATCAAGAGGAGTAGACAACTGAAAAGAGAGGCGCAGCTTCTGAAGGTGGTTTGCAGATAATGATACAGTATTTTCTCCAGCTAAATCTATCCTGCATGGATCCATGAACTAGAATCATACTCGAACTAATGTCATAAAGTTCAAACTCGGTAAAGCAGAGATGAGTATTGTAAATAAAAATTTAAACACATCCCAAAAATGGTCACAAAGACAAGCATCCAACATGGCATCAGTTAATAAGCACCCAGTCTTGTAACTGGGAGATGTTAAAAACATACTTCTTCTTGGTTTCTATGCTCCCAAGATCACTATCAAGCACTGCAATTTCTGCACTGTCAACTTCGATAACTCCAGTCACATATATTGGAATCCGAGTTTGGCCTCCAGTAGCATATAAGTTTTTGTGGTCTGAATCATGAAGCACAGTCTGCGAGAATTTGGGCTTGTCATATATGGGTGTATAGAAAGATGAAAGGCAGCATTTATGCATCAAAGAAACAAGGATACCTCAAAAACAAAAGTGTATTTTCCAACATCAACACTCTTTGGCAAAGCATCCAAGGTATAGACAGCGTTTTCAGGGTCAAACTTGAGTTCCTATATCACATAATTAATATTGGTCATCCAGAAAATCACCAAATTGATTGGGCAGGCTACAATACCGAAAAGGTAGACAATAGAATCAAAATGCACTCAACAAGGTACAAAATGTGGAAAAAGGTGTACCTGACTCCCAGTTAACAAAGTATCCTTTGAACCAGATCTGAAAACTCGTAGAAGATTCACTGTCAAAGGAGGTGCATTTGAACCAAGCACAGTATTCACCTTAACCTGGTTATATTTACATGGAAAGTCAATTTGAATAAGATTTTGTAAAAGGAAGAGGTTCAAGGTGTGCAAAAACTTCGTAATCATGCAAATCCCAGGAAATGCATAGGATATGCAAATAATATCATTAACAATTTTAGCTTATTCCCAAAATAGCCAGAATACAGTAAGAAACAAGATGAAGGAAATAATATTAGTCAAGCAAATATGAGATAACCAAAGTGTATAACTTGAATGCACACAACCGCACATATAGACACAAACACAAAAAAAATACTTATCATGCACACAGCAACACACCTTAAGCGCATCCTTCTTAGTCAATGAAAGAACTGTGGCTGGAAGAGATAGAATCAGTGGAATGGAAACCCTGCACCAGGAACCAAAAGTGTCATAATTGAAAAAATAAAACAATAAGGAAGTTACTTGCAAGCTTCTTCAGTAAATTCAGCACTTAATATTAAACCAGTTGCCTCATCAGTTATTCTACTTGTTGCTTTTCTCAACCAAAAGAGAAAAAGGAAAACATATAAAACGGAGGAACAGTAGCCCACAAACACAGCAAAATAACAACAATGTTCAAGTATATATAAGGCCTTAAATTTTTTCTTTAAAGACAAACTTCTGCTCCTAGCTGCAAAAGACAGCCAGCAGCTAATGAAACAAACTTCAAAAGTTTTTCATGAAAACAGCACATTTTCTTCGAGCACCAAACTGATGCTCTCATTTTGACGCTTTCTATTATGTTCAAGAAAAATACACTAATGAAAAAGGATTATTCCATAAAATCTTGCTTTTTCTGAAACTGCTGTCACTGGAAATTTGTTTTCTTTTAAAAGAACAATCACATATTACAGAGTTCTTTATATCAGGAAAACAACTATCAAAATGAGTTTTACATAACATAAATATAAAATGAAAAAAGATAATCAGAATGAAGTAAAGAACACACTCACGTGTTGCTCTCTAGGAAAGCCAGGGAATCTACTTGGTTGAACAAGTCTTTGGCATCACCTGGAATTCCAATGGCGAGGAAAAATTTTGCCAAACCCAATATTTTGCCACTTGGAAGCTGAAAATCAAAAAAGAATAAAGCAAGCAAAGAAAAGAGCATTAAACTCCTTTTGTGATAGAGAATTACCAGTACAAAGACCAGCAACACCAACAAACCTAACTCACATTCAAGCTTCCTGAAGTCACAGCTGCAAATGCTGTCAGTCCTCTAACAACAGAGGATGTAGTTGAAAGAGCACCTTGATGTTCACGTGCACCAACCAGCTTCTCATCAAAGTAAAAGGCCCCATCATCTACAATAAAGAGTTGCAGCTAAGTAAGTAAGTTCTGGTGTAGCATAAAATAGCAGCTGGCAGCTAGGTGAATGAAACATGGCCTACATGTAAAGCTGGTGAAGTTCCTTCATGTTAGAAAGGATTTAATTTTTGCCAAATTAAGACATGATAGATTACCAAACTGTTTCTTGACAACTTAATATCAGTAGAGTTAAAAGTTCTGGCATAAGCAAGATAAATATTATGTAGATGAGAGTAAAAGTATCGACAGAAATTTAAAAGAATAGAAACACAATTGCCACCATACTAAGAAATTGTTTTGGTGCATAAGCACCAAAAAATTATAATGTACCAGCGTGAGCGCGAGAGAGAGAGAGAGAGATGCATACCATACTTCTCAATGCTGTCAAACAGCTTCGATATATCATTTTTAGTTGTGCTGATCTGCCCATGGTAAGCAAATGTCACAAACAACATATTACAATGAACACCACAAGACAGCAGCAACAAGTATATTGGAAGATATCATATATTATAAATAGAAACAAAAACCCTCATCATAACCAGAAAATTGTTAATATAAGTTTATACAATTAGATACGCCCACAAGGAAAAGTGGATTACATAGCATAAAAGAAAGTTCTATGAAATGGGAAATTGTAGCTATGTTTCTAAAAGGAAATGCTATATCAAAATCTGGATAGGCTAAGCTATGGGTGCATTCTCAAAATGCAGGATCTATAGCAGACATAAATCTGCTACATAACCTGAAGCACTAGCAATAAACAAACTAATATAGACTATGCAAAAACTTGAAAAATAAAATAAAGAGGAAAAATACAGCTCAGAAAAAGAATGTAGACTAAAAATCACCAATAAGCATATGCTTTAAGAAAAAAACAATCATATAACCTATTTCACCTACAATAGCTAATTATGGAGTAACATAAAATCACCAGATACCAACATGTTTGATGCTGATAATGAAATAAACAGGACGTGTCCTTTTTCTAAATATAAGAGAAACATTGGTGATATTTTAAGGATCAAGAAAAAACTAAAAGTTCTATTGGGGCAAAGTCAGCAAAACTTCCAAATTACCAGAGATTGATCTATCTCGGAAGATGATAATGAGACAATACCAGCAAGTGCTTCAAGTGCTAGACCTGAAAAGAAACATGATCAAGCAAATGGATATATAAGCCAATGAAGGTGGAAGAATTAGCATGGCTTAGAGTGCTAATTTCAGCAATACAGCATAATTTAATCATTTAATGTAAAATATGATACACTCTCCATTCAATTCTTTCCTTCCCATTTTCACGATGTTCCAAACTCCTTGCGCTTTACTATTTCTAAGCACACATCCTTAGTTGTGTCCACAAATTTATGCTTAGATAATTATAAAAACAAAACTGGAGCAAGTATTTATGTCGTTTCCAAGTGTTAATGTGATAATTGCATATCCCCTTGCAAGAAAAGCATAGAATATATATGACAGGGCACAGGCGCTAGAAAAGTCATTGTGGTGTACAAAACACTTAAAGAACATACCAGCAGCAAAGGTGCTAGACTCTGGATTATTAGAATTATAGCGCCATCTTCCATCACTCTGGCTCAGTGCCTGCCAATAATTAGCGAGTCAACCATTACATGTGCCGAAAATTGTATTTGAAGTAGGAAAAGAAAATTCAAACCAAACGCCAACCAAAACATTGTGAAATAAACTTCTAAGCAGACCAGTCTGGACCTACACACCCACCAACTCTGACCACATCAGCAACTAGTCCCAAAAGGGCCCTGCTCAATGTGGGAGAGTTCCTGGCAAGGGTGGTCCACTAATGAGTTATTTTTTTCACACTCATACAACAGTCCACTATCAAGTTCAAATCTTCACTCTAACAATAACTCCAAGTAATAATGAACCTTGATGGACTGAAAAACTCCTTCAGCATCAGCAAGATAAAGATCATCTTTCGAAGTTTGACCCTGCATTGAGAAAAATATCAGCTTCAAGCTTTAGTAAAAAACTGGCAAGGCTTATGCTACATGACACAGCTTGAAAATCGTATTCTCTTTCAGGAAGTTGAGTAAATAAATACCTAGCAATTAACACTGCTGAAATTTCATGATTTCAGACAAAATCTGCTTACAAAAGTTTCAACCTAAAACTTATCACTAATTACCTCTCCCTTGCATTGTAGAAAGAAAAGAATAATTCCCAAATTAGAAATGCATAAAAAATGAGAATCAAGCTCGAAACCCATAACATCTAAAGGTGTTTATATATATTAATTACCTTGATAAGAGCTAAACCTCCCACAGAATAGTAGAAATCAAGCAAAGCACTTGCACCACTGACAGCAGCTTGTAGCCTTGAAGCAACACCCTTTAAGAGAGAAATTAACCCATCATCACACATTGTTAGCAAGTTGTCACATAAAGTTAATACCTTTGAAATAAAAAAACAACACAGAACAAAACGCTACCTCAAACACATCCTCTTTGATGTCACACTTTAATATTCCGTTGACTTTTAAGGCGTAGAATAAATCCTTCAAAGTAGAAGACGACGACCCATGGATTTCCGATACAGACTGGCAAGCAGCTGTGCTGATATCAGACCTTTTATCAATTCCAAGAACCTCAAACGTCCTAAGTTCCTCGTATGTTTCTTCTACGCTGGTAGCACACACTACATCCAGTCAGATCACTCTTTCTTGCTTAGGCCGACACGAAAATGTAAACGAACACAGGCAAGTGCAAACACCAACAAGGATTACCACAAGAGGCAACTTTTACCATTCTCTCATTATCCAAACAGCCGTAACAACCAATTTCAGTTCTATTACTTCTATAGACTAACCAGATCCCATATAGCAAATGAACAAAGGAAAGCTTAAATTCAGTAATTAGTAGAATTTTGATATCTCATGAAAATCAAATCCTGTTACTCTAATTAATCAACAAAATAAGAAATTGAGAGGATCATATGGGTTTTTGAAAACCTGGGAGAAGATCCACCAAGAGGATTGAAGAGCTCTAAAGCAGCAGATCGGTGTGAATCGGAGATCGGTTGAAAGATATAAGAAGCGAGGGCGGATGAGTAGATCAATGTCGCAGCGATCAAAACCAGAAATCTTCCAAGATTTCTTGCCATTTTTGTGCGATAAAAATTAAACCAAAACTACTTTTAAAATAAATAAATTGTGTTATAGAGACATTGACACTCGCATCTGTGTATAAAAATCTTAAGCGGTTTGAGTCTGCGGGTGCGTGGACTGTAGAAGTCTCCGCCCTCTCTTCTCTCCTCTACTCTCTCACTCGGGACGGGGGACCTTATTTTTTCACTTGGTTCCGAAAGTGCCCATGAATATCTCATGAATACCACGTGGCGTATCAAGTCGAGTAGAGTGAGGGTTGAGTAGATGTGGCGTATCAAGTGTTGCCACCTGGCTGATCTTGTCCAATCAGAGGGCGTTGTGTGGCAAGATGAGTCACCATTGGTGGGTGGCCTTCGGGCGTTTTGGGTATTCAATTAACCTGTATGGAGCCCAGTGCAAGCCTAGGAGATAAAAAAAGAGATCGAGATAATTTTTCGGAGAAGGCCCAAATAAAGAGGCGGGGGACTGCTAGGGCTACTAAAAGTATTTCTGGATTAAAAAGGATTAAGGTAATGTTTTTTTGTTTTTTTATATAATTTTAATTTATTGATATTAACAATAAAAATTAATAATTTCAATATATTTTCAAATAAAAAATTATTTTATATTATAATCTCAAACATAATAAAACCAACTTATTTAATATTTTAAATCATTAATCAATGTCATAGATTTATGGATCAAATCACGTAACAAGTGAATAATAATTATAAAATAAATTCAATTCAAGTATGGTCAAATCATGTAACCGGTGAATAACTTGATTGGGTGAACATTTGATATTGCATTTCTTGTTTTAGAAGTATTTTTATTTCGAGAAAATATTAAATTAATGTTTTTTTAATAATTTTACTACATTAATATAAAAAATTATTATTTTTACATATTTTTAAATAATAAATATTTTTAAAAAACATGTTACGTGGAATATCAAAATAATCTTGAATCAACTTCTCATGGAAGAAGTAAAACAAATTGCCGCTGCTCCCAAAATTCGGTTTTTAATACACTACAAAACCCACCATGCATCGAAAGGGTGAAGTCTGGGGCATTGACACAAGCTTAGGTGGCCATGGGGAATCCAAGTGGCCAAAGGTCAAGCTTCTAATTTTTTTTTAAAAAATTATTTGAAAATATATTAAAATAATATTTTTTAATTTTTAAAATTGTTATATTAAAATAATCTAAAAATATAATTATTTTTTTTAATTCATAACATCCAATTTTAAACACAAGAAAAACAATACAATTTAAAGTAATTTTTTACTTAGAAATATATTAAAATAAATAAAATTTATGTTTTAAAAATTATTATTAATATTAATACATTAAAATAATATAAAAACACAAAAAAATAATATTTTAAACAAAAAAATAATTAAAAAAAAATACATGGTACAAAAACACACCAAAAACATGCAGTTTCAACAGCAAATGAAAACACAAACAGCCCATAATATGAAAAAAAGCACGTCATTGCCTTGGTGAGAAAGAGAAATATTATGAAAGAGGTTTATAGATGGTGAAAGCTTAGAAGACAAAATGGTGTTCATACCACCAGGCTTCCATCCATGCGTGCAACTATAGGAAGGCGAGCGTGTCTTTTAGCAGTAAAAGTCGATCAAATCCAGGAAATATTGTTAGCATCTCATGGTTTCACAAAAGATCCACTTAGACGTTTTTCTTTTTTTTCTATCTATGAGTAGAGTCTACATCCATTTCTGCTACCATAGGGTGGCAAATAACCTACATTCAGCAACCAAAGAAAGATGGAAAGCTAGAGCAACCTTCAGCATCCGCAAAGGAAAGCTCCAACTTCAAACACTCCACGAGGGAAAACTAGATGCTCGCAATAATCTTAGTACTTCAGAGGTGACTGTTGGGTTGGCAACAATCCAAAGCGCTTCTTCAAAAGAACTCTTTGCCTTGAGTATTTGTCATCGGGGGAGAAGCGAGCTGCAATTTGAAAATGGAAAAGCTCACTAACAAGTGAAATTTGTATACAATGTACTAGCTAAATAGAGATAGGAGAGGGTTATCCAGAAGTGATGATCAAGCTCAATATATGTACAGTCTTTTTGTCTGTAAAATTCTAGAATAAAGCATATAGGCAGGCCATAACAGTTCACATTCGTGAGGCAATACAGAAAAGTCACTGCATGCATCTTTGAACCAATTTATCTAGTCACCACTCAGCCGGACGCATTGATCAAATCCAAAATCATTTGATACATGCAAACACAAACCTTTAAAGAAATTTTATCAGGACTAAAACCAGTTGTGACATTGTAAAAATAATTTGACTTGCAAAAACAATAGTAGATGTGAATTTGGGAAACGATTTCCAAAGCAGCACATCTGAAAATGTGACTTCGAATAACACAAAGCAATTAGCCCTGAGAGCTTCTTCCAGTTACATAACGTTTACATTTTTACCTCTGGTATTATTGAAATGTAGAATTCATAAAACAGAGAGTACTACTGTTTTAAATTAAAAAAAAATAGAAAGAAAGAAAGAAATACCCATGCCTAGAATATGCAGAAATGAGGAAACAAGGGATGAAAACAAATGACCACCACCACCTAGACAAACATCCATTTGTGAAATTGACACAAATTTATTACCTGGGTGAGCAGATTCAGTAGGCAACCCCAATGGTGATTCTTTCTGCACAAAAGAAAAGGCAACTCAACAAAAATACAAGAAACAACAGGAGAAAATAAAGACTATAACTTCAGAAGTCCACACATGATTTTCGCAAAGATCCAATATAATGGAAGCCAGCGTTGGCAGAAACGCAAGCCGCCACCCTATTACTAACTAGGCAACAAAAGGGGAGAAAAAGGAAGAAATTTTCTCAAAATTTCACCTAACAGTATCACAAGCAGCAGGCTTCAAACAACGAACACCAAGTTCCATTACTTTCCAATACAAAAAACGTAAAACTTAAGAATACATAAAATTTCCAAAGATATAGACTTCCAGTTTAACCCTTCAGTCTTGCTTATTTCACTATTTAAACCACTAAGAATTTCATACCTTGGTGGTGTAGACTTTGTCACCATTATCGTTTATATAAAACTGAAGATACATTGTAGCAACTCCTGAACAACAAAGTCAAAATCACAACGTGTTCAGATTTACAAAAATCCACAAAACATAATTTAAACTTGAAACAAAAATTTCCCAAGAAAATAAAACCCATTGCAGAGTCAAAACTAGAGAACCCATGTCATGACCATACCTCTCTCGGCTCTTCCTGCAAGGGTTTAGAAACAGCCTCCTAGCTTCGAAAGAGATGATTGTTAAAAGAGAGGGACGAGGTTTTCTGACCTTATTATATAAAGTCACAGCCCAGGCCCATATCAGTTGGACAGTTGGGCTTATCCAATCAGGCCGGCAAAGCTTTTACGCGTAAAGCTATTAATACGGAGACAAAGGGCAAATCAGTAATAACGCTTCGAATTAAGGGTCCAGCAACCTTTCAAAGCTTAAAATCTCTCAGCATTTCGCCTAAAAACTAATATAAAAAACTCCGTCAATACCAAAGCAACAACGGCGAAAATGTCGTTCGAGGAAGACGACGAGTCGTTCGAGCACACCCTCCTGGTGGTTCGCGAGGTTTCCGTTTACAAAATACCCCCTCGTTCCACTGCCGGAGGCTACAAATGCGGAGAATGGTTACAATCCGACAAGATCTGGTCTGGAAGGCTTCGAGTTGTGTCCTGCAAAGAACGGTGCGAGATCCGATTAGAAGATCCGAACTCTGGTGAGCTATTTGCTGCTTGTTTCTTTAACCCTGGACAGCGCGAGAACTCCGTCGAGACAGTCCTCGACTCGTCCCGGTATTTCGTACTTAAAATCGAGGACGGGAGAGGTAAGCACGCGTTTGTTGGTCTAGGGTTTACAGAGAGAAATGAAGCGTTTGATTTTAATGTGGCGTTATCGGATCACGAGAAGTACGTGAGACGAGAAAATGAGAAAGAGAGTGGCGAAACGAGTGAGAGTGATGCTCATATTGATATTCATCCTGCCGTTAATCAAAGATTAAAGGTAATTAACAAAAAAAAGTTGATCTTTTTATTTTTAATTTTTCTATAATGCTTGAATTGTGATGATTGTGGTTTGATTTTTTTGGTAGATTAGTGGCATTTTAGTTAGGTTAGTTAGGGGTGATTATTGAATTGTTATGTTTGTTTTATGGGATTAAAGATCCATAGTTTTGGATTATAGGAAGGGGAGACTATAAGAATCAATGTGAAGCCTAAGCCATCTGCTGGAGCTGGAATGCTATCAGCTGCAGGGCTGTCTGGAGGGGTTTCAACAACTGGAAAGCCTAAACCTTTAGCAATTGCACCGCCACCAACTGGAGTGGGGAAACTAAGGTCTCCGCTTCCACCACCACCCAATGATCCAGCTGCTTCTCGAATGACGGCAGGGAATCATGGTGGAATTGGTCTTAAAGTACCACCCAAGGAATCTACTCGATGGTCTACTGATTCATTATCAGATTTGTCTCCGCTTGAGGTATGTCTGCTTTCCGAATATCCTGTTTGTGTTCTTGAAGATTGCGTTATGTATTTGAAATGCTACGCTAGCTAATGTTGATCAATGAGTTCTTTAGAAATGTGAAAACATGACAGTTGTTCTGAAGATCTGTGTTTGATAAGGTCCTGGACTTATGTTCCCCTGTTGATTATCGGTACTGTGATATGTGAATAAACTTTTCTGAACTGTAGCCAGGATAGTAAGGTCATAATAATAAACTGATTACAAGTTACTTTCTGAGATCCTGGTGGACTCTTAAATGAAATGAGGCAAATCTACTTCTACTTAACTACATTTGTCGTTTTTCCCCGTTCTGAGCATGTGAGAACGCAAATACCACAATGCATCCAATCTCTGTTAAGCACTTCAATTAAATGTACACTGTCTTCGTCAGTTGATGCACATACGTTATATAGTTCCTTTGCTGTTCTGCATCTGCAGAGAAATCTTCCTTCAACAACATCAGGATCAACCAAGACAACTGCATCAGGATGGGCTGCTTTCTGATTGTGTTGGAGGTTTGTTGAGCATGATAAAGGCATTCGTTTTATGTGTTTTTTTGTAAAAGCTGAAAAAATGAACGACGAAATTGAGAAATGTCAGCAAGCAGGAGCTACCAAATACCATCATGTGTGCAAAATAATGTTATATGAAATGTATCAAATGCTTCTCTTCTTCATACATGGATTGAGTTCTTATTTCTACATAATAGAGAAAAGTTTTGTGTCTCTATCGTTCTGGCTGTCTGATGTGTACTGACGACCAAATATGGTTCATCTGTCTTTTTTCTTCCCCTGAGCTACTGCACATGTTTCGCACAGTAGTCCTCGGCAGCTAGACGTATCAATCAAAACCTTAAACGCTGCTAAGTGCTAAGAAATATGAGGATTTAGGAGAGGTCAGATGGAGGAGCAAGTTTGGAATTTAAGTAGGCTTCCGAAACTTCCTTGCCAATTTTAAGTTGCACGTTTCTCCAGCCCCATTCATATCATCAAACCTCAAATCATTAACTTGGTTTTTTAGTTTTTTGAGAGACCGAGTAGATTGACTAGTTGCATAGGGTTTAAATATATTTTTTTAATGATCTATGATGGTATAAGTTCGCTTGACACATGCAATTTAGGAAGTTTAATTACACAAGGTTTTCTTTTTATCAGCAAGCTCATCTTAGAATGTTTTCCTTTTTTTTTTTTTTGTTGTCTTTTCAGATAAGTTCACTTGTTTATGTACCATCTAAATTATCTTCTAAAATCTTAAAATACTGAATTTTATTTTATAAGAAAAGCCCCTGGAAGTTGTAGAAAAAATTATTTTGCTTAAATAATTAAAATATATAGCTTGAAAATATCAGACTATAGATTCTCAAATATATTAAGAAAAAAACAATTTGGTGCCTAAAAAATATAGATCTAAAAACCCAAAAAGAATTATTTTATGGAAGTATAAGAGTCGTTAACTGGAGAGTTTAGCTTAGACTCCATGTCACTTTATAAAAGTGATGAACAGCCGACTGTGAAACTCTAAGAAGCATGTATTAAGGTTTTGTTTGTTTGTAGAAATTTTTTTTTTAAAAAAAATAAATTTAAAAGAAAATAAATTTTTGAAAAGTGAATTATAGAAAAAATAAATTCTTGAAAAGTAAATTATTTTACGATATTTAGTAGTGTTATGGAAAATGAATTATAAAATATTTCCTAGTGTTGTTAGTAGTGTTATGGAAAATGAATTATAAAATATTTCTGAGTTATGTTATGGAAAATGAACTGGAAAATAATTTATTAATGTTTTATTTTTTTTCAAGTTTATTAAAATAATGAGAAATAAATTTTATAAATTAATAAATTGAATAATAATGAAATTGCAAAAAAAATTCATAAATTATCTCAAATAAAATAAATAATAATCAAAATAATAAAGATTAAATCTAAAAAAAAATAAAGAAATTAAAATAATAATAATTAACATTTTATAAAGTATTTCAAATAAAATAAGTAACAATCAAAAGAATGAAGGCCAAATTTAATAGATAAAAAATTTTAATAAAAAAAATAATAGGAGAAAGCAAATAACAATTATAAAAATGAGGATCAAAGTTAATATAAAAATTAAAATTGAAAAATAAATATTCAAAACAAAATATATATAGCAATCAAAAGTTTGAGGATCAAATTTGATATAATCAGCAAATAATGAAATTTCTAAATTTTTCAGGAAAACACTTTCCTGAAAACCAAGCCAAATTTTCCTTTGATTGAAAAATATTTTCCGTTTATCAACTTTTCTAACAACAAACAAACATAAGAAAATTTAAAAAGTGATTTCCCCGAAATCACTTTCTGAAAAACAAACACAAGAAAGTTTGGAAAGTATTTTCCCGGAGACCACTTTTCGGAAAACAAACACAGCTAAAAAGAAAAATATTTTTCTAAAAACCAAGTCAAATTTTTTTTTAACTGAAAAATATTTTTCGGTGACCAAAAAATGTTTTCCATTAACTAAAAAGTGTTTTCCGTTAACCAAAAAATATTTTTTGTTTACCAATTTTTTTAATGACAAATAAATACAAAAAAATTTTAAAAATAATTTCTCAAAAACTATTTTTCAGAACAAACATATCCTAAGACTCTACATATTCATAAAGTTAAGACTCTACATGATCATAAAGTTAAAAGGAGGAGGAGAAATATACTTCCTTCTAGTTAAAAAATGATAGCTGCAATTTTTCATAACTTCGTCTTTCAATTAGAGAATAATACTGGTTGCATTTGAATTTGTGAGAAAATTAATAACTTAATATGTTAAGAGGAAGATTATAAGAAAATTACAAGGAAATAACTTTTTTCCTGAAAGAAGATTTAAAGATAAACTCAACAAAGAAGATATATTGCAATAGTAATTTTCTTGTTAAATTATGTTTGATTTGAGATTAAAAGCTAGAGGTTGAATATTACTGTGTTTGTCTCTGAGATTAATGTTACTTGACACACAACTTTTATATATATATATATATATATATATGACCATAATCAGTGGGTCCCTACCAACTGCCAAGCATTCTTCACCCGCACGCTTCAGCCATATTTGCAGGATTTCCAATGATTCCTTCCCCGTATTGATTTGTTTCCTGTGTTGTCTTGATCAGTAATCCAGGACCATTAGATGGGCTGGGCTCGTATTATTGAGAATTGTTTATTTTCAGTCAATTATAATTATTTTTTAAAAGTGTTTTATTTAAAAATATATTAAAATAATATTTTTTATTATTTTTTAATTTTATTTTTAACTAAATTTCGAAAAAAAATCATTTTCACACAGCAAAAACAAACACAAACGGTGACTGAAACCACTGCTTGGTGGCTTTCAGTTGCACTCTGAATAGAGATGAAGAGGTAAAGGCAAAAACCTGAGGAGAGCAGTGTTATACGCCTGGCTAGCAAGATAACCTTTTGACATGGGACTCGGCTCAAGGCTTGAATTAACTCAGGGTCAACCCATCCAGCAAGCCACTTGATTTTGTCCAAAGCTTATGGTTGAGATCGTCATAAATTTGATTGTATTCCTCGGTGAACAGTCAAGCTTGATTGCCCCTCTCGAAGTACCATGCATTCACTGCACAAACTACTAACAACGCTGTTCAAGAAAAACCAAGTCACCGACCCTGCTGCTTATCAGCCTAGTTAGCACAATAAGGTTCGTTAAAAAATGCAAATAGAATCAGCATCATCAAGGCAACAGGCCGTCCATTGAATAATTCTCGGAGACGGGGGGGGCGTTATTTGTTCTGCAAGACTCTGACTGCCCTTT